CAAGAAAACGGCTTTGGGTTCCTTTAGACGCAAACTTAAGCACACAGAAGAGGAGCTGATGAAGAAGAATGTTGAGAGGCGTGAAGCTTTGGACAGGCTCAGTGTCGCTGAACGCAGTTTAGCTGCTCAGATGAATATCCGAGCAGAGCTGGAGAGACAACTGGAGGACCTACGCACAGAACTGGCTCTTGCAAACGCTCAAACTCATAACGGCATGGAAAATAGTGAGGCGTGCTTAAATCGATCATTTGGTTCAGTGAACTCCGTTGATCGTGTTGTGCAGCTTGAAAACGAATTGGATGAGGCACGGAGTCAGAAGGAGGCGGCGGAGAGGCTCCTCCAAGTTCTTCAGCGACAGGTTGCAGCCTTGCCGTCTGAAGGATTTGGATCCTCTGCTGCCATGGGCGCGCTAAAGGCCCAGTTGCGACAGGCCGAAAAAGAGAAGGAGGAATTGCGTAACCAACTGGCCGCAACGATCGCGAGGTTGGAAGATGCACAGGGCTACTGGAGACGCCGTGGCAGCACAAGTTTTGTTGACAATGAGACAGAAAGCCCCTTATTAGGAGGAAAGATTGGGGGAGGGAACGCCGATAGTCCGTCCGGACGGGAAGAGACGGATGCATCTGGCCAGCAGCATCGCCCATGTGAGAAACAAGATGGAGTGTCCCGGGAGAGGACTTTGCTTGGCTCCACCCTGCTGCTTCTTGGGTACCGCAACTTGATGCTGCAACAGCAACTCACGATGACGAGTGGCGGTAAATTCACCGCTTCTGGCGATGGGGAGAAAGAAAACAACGGTGGGTTTGCAGGGAACACCGGGTCTTTTTTGACACGTCATCGACACGAGGTGGAGCAGGGCCTCCTAAGGTCTGTCCTGAGCCGTGGCGGCTAATATTACTAATCAAAACGAGGGAAAAGACAGCTCACCCCTTTGATGTTTCTGCAGGCTTGATTGGTTTCTCTCGTTTTAACTTTCGAGTTTATGTGCCATTTTTTGTTTTTTACTTTTGGCTTTAGCGTTTCTTCGGGTTGAAATTGAGGTTGTTTGCCGCTTTTTCTATTACCATGGGAATTATGTCGTTCGGCTGCAGATATCTTAATTTGCGTGTTGCTTGTATGACTGTGCGGGTCGAATGACTGCTCCTCCCTTCCAAAAGAAACAAAAAGCGGGCGTGAAAAAAAAAAAGAAAAAAAGAGGAAACAAAAGCCGAAACGCAAAAAAAAAAAAAAACCTGCCGCGGTGAGTTTCTTTTTACTTTGTGTGTGTGTGTCTGTTTGTGTGGGTATTGTTGTTTTCCTTCTTTTCTTGAATTGTGGGCTTAACTTTGCCTTTTTCTTCTTTCCCTTTGGTGGGGGTGATGGGGTGTTTTTCTTTACACGTGATTGGCACCCTGACAGAGGGTGTAGCGTGAACATACATACACATACACACAGGGAGGGAGGGAGGTGGTGGGGCGTCAAGGGAATAAAAAGGGAGAGAGAGGTCCTCGGACTGGTTGACGCTTCCTTCCAATGGACTTACATGATCCTTCTGAGGAAATAAATCAGCAGAGCGAAGGCGAGGATGACAAAGGGTACGAGGAGGTGATTGAGGAGATGGAGGTGGAAGAGGAGTCATATATTAGTGGGTCGTACGAAGAAGCATACGATGAGGAAATGACCGATGACGAGGAGGAGGAGGAACAGAAGGAAGACCAGGAGAATCTTCTCTCATTTTCAACATTTCCGCTGGAAGCGTTACGCGGCCAGCACATTATGGTGGCGGTGGCGTTCAATCGGTTCATTGTTATTGGCACCAATCGTGGTGTGGTGGCATTGGTGGAGGGGTCTGGTGTGGTGCTTCGCATGCTCAACAATCACATCGACCCCATTAGTGACGTGAGCTGCGACATTATGGAGGAGCATGTGGGTTCCTCCGACAAGGCGGGTGTTGTTACTGTGCAGAACCTGAGTGACGAGCAAGATTTTTATCGAAGGGAGTTTGATGTTCCAATTTATTCAATGGCACTTCATCCAAAATACAGCCGCAGTGAAGATCGAGCCATTCTTTTGGGTGGCGGTGATAAAGTGATGCTCATTACAAAAACGAGAATTTTAGGCCACCGAAAAATCACCATTTTGCAGGAGCGGCGTGGAAAGGTTTACGCGGTACGCTGGTGTGGCCCCGAGTTGATTGCCTGGGCAAATGATCGTGGTGTGCAGCTCTATAGTTATACTGGACGGGCGATGGTGCATTTTGTATCTAGACCCGTGGACTCATCAAGACTGGAGTTTTACCGCTGCTCCCTCGTGTGGGAGGCCCCTCGTACACTTACCTGTGGATGGGGAGACTGGGTTCAGGTGCTTCACGTCTACGAGCTACGGATGGAGGAACGGTTGAGATGGGGAACGGAATTCATGTCGAGGACGCATCGAGTGGAAGTCACGCCGGCTGTTCGAACGCACACAACAACGGAACCATGTCGTGTATGTGGTATCGCTCCATTTGGTTCAGACCGATACCTTGTGCTTGCTTGCACTCTTGAGGAAGAAGGCTATATGAAGGAACTAGAGGTGCGTATTGTGGATCGTACCACGTTTGGTAATGTATTTCGTGGACGCCTACATACAAAACACAAGCATCCCTTGCAGTACAGTTTAGCCTTTTCTGTTGGTGGAGTTAGCACTCCTGCTCATGCTGCTGCTTCTTCTTATACGGTGGAGAAGTCGGTGTCGGCGACATCCAGGGTAGCACCCACATCGTTGCCTTCCTCGATGCCATTGTTGTCTGACACCGTGCCGGCATTTGTTTTTTTTATTGTTTGCGTGGATGCCATCATTAAGGTGACACCCACCGACGACGACCAGCATGTGGAGTATCTTCTAAGGGTGGGTCGTTTCAAAGAGGCCTACAGCTACGCCCGCACCCACCCGCTCCGTCAGCATCAAGCTGTGGACGTTGGCCATCAGCTCCTGCAGCATCTGTTTGCGGAGAAGAAGTACGACGAGGTGGCGTCTTCGTTGGCGGAGGTGGTGAAGGAGGATTATTTGGAGTGGGAGCGGTGGATTTGTCAGTTCGATCAGCAGGGCATGTCCGATCTGCTTGTTGATGTGCTTCCGATTCAGGGCGGAAATAGCAGGGAGATAAAAGGTGACACGGAAGATGGTCAGGAGAAGGTCACCAGAATTGGAGAAGAGTACTATGAGCTTGTGCTACTTCGGTGTCTAGAGAAGAATGTCTTTCTCTTTCAAAGAGCTGTGCGGAAATTTAAGGGCATGTTTCGGCCGGATGTGGTGAGTCACGCTGCCGAATTGCGCTATAACGATGGAGACATGCAGGGCAATGTGGGCGGGGTACCCGACGAACAAAAAAAAGCTCTTGGAGACACGTATGGGTTGCTGCTAAAACTTGGTGGTCAATATGACAGGGCATTCGAGGTTTTGCTACGGGTGGATCAAAGTGATGAGCTCTTCAGTCTTATACGGGAACAGAAACTCTTTTTGAAAGCATTGGAGGCCTTGCCTGCGCTGTTCGCCAGGAACGAGGACAGGACCATCGAGCTCCTCCTGGAACACATTTACGCGAGAAGCGCTGTTGCGGATCAGGAAGAAGCAACAGAGGCGTTGCCGTTGCGATCGTTTCTCACACCGGCGGCCGTCGTGCAACGATTGGAACGGACGCAGCGTCGTTATCTGTGGGCATACCTGAAGGCGTTGCAGACCCGAGACAAGGCAGTGCACGCCGCGCTGTCGGAGACGCATGCGCAACTCTTTGCGACGCTTTTTATTGAGAACGAGCCGTCTGGTTTGTTTGCGTTCCTGCATGAGAATTCCGCGCACCTTCCCAAGCTAAGGGAGATATATGCACTGTGCAAAAAACACCAGCTCCTGGAGGAGATGGTTTTCCTGCTTGCGAGGATGGGAAAAGAGGAGGAGGGCCTTCGAATCATTGTGCACGAAATGAAAAGCATGAAGAAGGCGGTGCAGTTTATTGCCGATGTTCCCAACGAGGAGGATCAGCTTCACCTCTACAAAAGACTTGTGCACATGACTCTCGAGATGAACACCGCACTTCAGAGCCGTCATGGACAGAAGTACTTTGAGTACCGCCCGACGGAGGGTGAAACGTGGGCAAGCATAGCCAGGAAGTATGACATCGACGAGGGTGAGCTACGCATGGCTAACGGCGCTGGGAATCCACTTCCTGGCGGAGTCAGCAGCAGCAGCAGCAGCAGCGGTCGCGTGGCTCCGATAAGCAACCTTTGCATTGTACCTCTAAACATCACGGGGGCACTTTTGCGGGCCATTGTGGATCCATCCATAAGCGGACGCGTTGCGTTGGATCCCACGTACGTTGTTGAGCTACTGCCAGAGGACGAGCCCATGCCACATGTGGGAAGCCGCATTGCCAACGTGGCGCGCAGCAAGGCAAATGATGTGTGGCTCATGACGGCCGTCGTGCACGTGGCGACGAGTGACTTGGGGAAGCACTACGAGACGCTGTACAGGCGGCGGGGGGCGGCAATTCGTGTGGACCCTCGAATGGCGGTGTGCCCCTTTTGCCACCAGCCAACGTTGGCGGACGTTGTGATCTTTGGGTGCTCCCACACCTACCACGCCAACTGTGTGATTGGCTACCTCGCTGGCGAGGGTGTTCTGCTCGTGCAGCCAGCCGATGTTGATGTTGGCCGCTTTTTCAAGCACCCGGAGGAATACCTGAGGCCGGGCTCGCGGAAGGTGTCGCCTCGCTGCCTTGTCTGTTGTGAGGTGCGCGGGGCAGTGAAATAATACCCCGGAGCCGCGGTCCGTGTTGAAGTGATGAAACGTGTGTGGCTGCGGCCGTGAAGTGTGGCAATTTGACTTGTGCGTTTGGCGCCTGCAGCTCCCTTGTTTTCTGTTCAGCTGCCTTTTTCTTGCTGGAGCTTTTTTGCATTTTTCTTTTTTGTTTTTATTGTTGTTGCCTTGTGCGATAGCGAGCCGGAACGGAGGAGGCGGGGCGGGGGCTGCAGCACGGAGCGGCAGCACGACAGCATGCGGCGAAGCGTTATCCGGCTGCGCAAGGAGTTCTTGGAGCGCAAGCAGAACGAACGCGTTCACGAGGCGATCCATGCCAGGAAGGAGCAGTTTCGTGAGGCCGTGAGCAACGCCACGCCGCTCCCGGGACATCTCCGCAAGGACGCGTTAGCCCTGAAGAAGTTCGCGGAGCTGGACGACGACCAGACGAGGACACTGCAGACCAGTGTGGACGACGAGTACGCCAACGCGGGTGTGGAAGACCCGCGCGTTCTCGTCACGACGTCACGAGAGCCGTCACAGAAGCTGCTGGAGTTTGCGAAGGAGATTCGGCTGGTCATTCCCAGCGCTGTTCGTATGAACCGCGGCAACCTCAGCGTCCGTCAGCTCATGGATGCGGCGCGGCGGGGGCAGTACTCCGATGTTGTTGTGCTGCAGGAGTCGCAAGGCGTCCCCGATAGCCTCACCGTTTCGCACCTGCCACTAGGGCCGACTGTCGTCTTCACAATACATAATCTTGTGACACGGCACGACATCCAGGACGTTGGCACGATGTCTGAGCAGCACCCGCACTTGATCTTTGAGAACTTCACGACGAGGCTGGGTCGCCGGGTGCGGGACGTGCTGAAGTTCCTCTTCCCCGTTCCGAAGCCTGACGCCACGCGCGTCTTGACGTTCGACAACCAGAATGACTTTGTGAGTTTCCGCCACCACACGTTTAGGGCGGTAAAGGGGAGGGAGGTGCAGCTGACGGAGGTTGGCCCCCGCATGGAGCTGGCGCCGTACCGCATCACACTGGGGACGCTTGAGATGGACGACGCCGAGACGGAGTGGGTGCTGCAGCCGTATATGAACACGGCGAAGAAGCGCCGGCTCCTGTAAAGGGGCCAGGCTTATGGGCACACATGCATGCCCCTGTTGCCTGGAAGAGGGATCTTTCTGCTGAGTCGTGCCGCGCCGATGGTTCGTGCTCGTTTAATCAAACGCAAAAAAGGCCCTTGCAGTGCACACCAGCATAATTTGTGAGGATAATGAACCGGTGTCCTGCAAAGGAGAAATATGACCACTCCCTTTACTTCGGAGGTCTGCGGCTTTTTTTTTTCCACCTCTCCTCATTTCTCTTTTATCTTTTATTCTTCTCTTATATATATGTGTGTCCGCATGCGAGGAAGCAGGAGAAAAAAAATAGTTTTAATTACCATCACAAAACAGGAAAGAAGTAATGCTGCGCTTCTCACTTCCCTTATTTGCCGCTGCGGTGCCCAGGGTGCTCATTACCGGCGGTCTGGGCCAGATCGGCACCGACCTAACTCTTGCACTGCGTGAGAAGTTTGGCGCCGACTCTGTCCTGACGTCTGACCTGGTTACGCCACCGGAAAAGCATCCGCTTGCGGGTGGGAAGGGATACCAGCACCTTAACTGCATGGACCGTGACGCCTACGAAAAGTTGGTAAAGGACTTCAAGCCGACGTGGCTGTTCCATCTTCCGGCGATCATGTCCGTTCGCGGCGAGGCAGAGCCGCAGCTGGCAATGAACCTCAACATCAATTCGACACGCCACGCCCTGGACCTTGCGCGTGACTACAAGATGCGCTGCTTCATCCCCAGCACGATCGCCGCCTTTGGAGACAAGTGCGGCAAGGTGAACACGAAGGACGACACGATCCTGAACCCCTCAACGGTTTACGGTGTCACCAAGGTCTTCACGGAGATGATTGGCACATACTATCGTGAAAAGATGGGCACGGACTTCCGCAGCGTGCGCTTCCCCGGCATCATCTCTGCCGCGACACTCCCCGGTGGCGGCGCCACGGACTACGCCATTCATATGTACCACTGCGCATTGCTGGGCAAAAAGTACGTCTGCCCCGTTCGCCGTGATGAGCCGCTGCCGATGCTGTACATGCCGGATGCCCTCGGTGGTGTCATCAAGCTCATGGAGGCGTCCGACAGCTGTTTGAAGCGGGCGGTGTATAATATCAGCGGTTTCAGCTTCACTCCGGAGCAGCTGCGGGCCAGTATTGAGGCACGGATGAAGCGCCCGTTGGAGGTGGAGTACGTCGAGGGGCCTGCGCAGAGCATCGCGCACTCGTGGCCTGACTCCCTGGACGACTCTAACGCCCGCCAGGACTGGGGCTACGAGACGAAGTACGACGTGGACAAAATGACGGACGACATGCTTCGCCAGATCCCGGTTCTCCACGGGCTCCCGTCGCTGTAGAGGGGGCTGATCCTGCCATGCTCCTTTTAACTAGGCGCCCGCATTGTTGTAAACTAATTATAAAATAATTTACGAAAACGAAAACGTTACTTTGGTTCTTTTTAAACAGCAAAAAACTAAGAATAAAAAACGGGTGTGGCGGTTTGGGGCTTTGGTTCAATTTTTTTTTTTTTTTTTTTGGGCCCGTCGGCTGAGACGTCTTTCCTACTGCGTCAGTCGCTTGGTACTGAGTGCGGCAGACACGTTGGTGCGGAACTGAAAATAACGAGCACGGACACATCGCTCTTTTTTTTGGTGCTCGGGCTGCCGTCGTACCTGGGGCCGTTCAACGGCGTAAATGTGGTTTTGTTTTTAAAATACTTTGGCATCTTGCCTTGTGGTGATTTGCTGCCTTCAAAAGGCCATAAGGAGGATATGTGGCGTCTGTTGCAGGGGCCCGCCATCTGTTGTTGTGGCTGTCTGACTGCCCTGCCGGTAATGCCTATTTTGCCTTTTGTCCTTGTCCTTCTTTGTTTTGTGTGTGTGTCTGTGGTGCTTGCTTGCAAGGGCATAGGACACCAGTCAACAGTTGAGGAGCACTTTCTTTGCCCCTTTGCTGTGAACGGGAGAAAACACATACATTGCCTTTGTTTTGCCTGCGCGAGGGAGTCGAGGGGTCGGTCGTTGTTGTGGTTCTGTGTGTATGTTTGTGTGCGACGCATGGGGCGGACAGAAACGGAGGGCAACAACAGTGGTGAGGTGCAACAGGCGGTGTCAGAGGGCACTTGTCTGTTGGAGAGCACGACACCCACACGGAGGCTGGAGCTCGGTGGTGAATCAGCCGGTGTGGACACTAACGCTGTTGTCAGACGGGCGTGGGAAAAGGACATCACAGCGTTTCTTGCGTCTCAGTCACACACATTGTTTGCACGCGACCCGCTTCTTGAACTGAAACTTGACGACAGTCCGGATGGAATAGCGAGGAGGGAGCAGGCTGGCGTCTCGTCAACAGCGTCGCCACTGTGTGCTGCGAGCCCCATGAGCGCATGGCGGCGAAGATCAGAGCTTCAAGACGATGTCAGGGCGGAGGAGAGGCGTCATCACACGGGGGACCCAGCTGAAAGCAGGCTGCTTCTGTTCTCTCCCCTTAGGTGTGCAGCAGAGGAGGAGGAGGAACAAGTAATCATTGGCCGGGATGTGACTTACCCCGATAATGACGTGCTTGGTCTTCATAGCCTGGGGCAGGCCGTCACGGGGATGGAGCATTGCTTCTCAACCCCGCGCCTCATCCCCACTCCAGAAACTCACACAAGCAGGCGTCAAGCGGCGTCTCAGGTCACCACGGGTTGTGCAGTTGGTTTGGCCGCGCAAGCGCTTTCGCCAGTTCAACAGGCAAACAATGTCCCATTCCGCTCCTGGAATTCTCGCGAGCAGCAGAAGGTGGGGGCAGTGGCTGTTTCCACGGGAG